CAAAATCGCTTGTGAGTGGAGATGCATACATCCTCTTTTATGAAAAGGAGGAAACAAGTTCGCACCTTTGAGCGTTTTGAAATGTTATTTTTGTACTGTTGTTTTTAATGTTATAATGAATTAGTTATGTAAGATTTATGTTATATTATATGAAACTTAATTCAGGCAAATCGATATTAAAAATAGCAGTCTAACATTCTAATGGATTTGTAATATTCTTCGCTCTTCCCTTTGTGCCTGGTAAATGTGTCACAAGATTCTGACGTCTATTTCTGACACTATAGGTGCATGTTTAGATTACTTTATCACTTCTGTATGATTTCCTTTTCTACGTTTACATTCATGAAATAAACTTGTCTTATCCGCTTGTAGATTGTTCATTCACTATTTCATGTTCATGCTCTTCATCTGCACTTTCCTCAGATCTGGAATCGTGATTGCTCAATTGACAACGGTCCACATCTGATTCTGGCTCGCCATCCTCATATTGAACCTTATCATCAGTTGAAACTTCATAATGTAATGTTTGCAGTCTTTGAAGTGCCTTCAAATATGGATCCATGTTTTTTCTCCAAGTGGGATAAAAACAGCAAAAATCACAAATCTCTCAGAGAATTTTGTTACGCCAATATTCGGGTAGTGTATGAGACAATTCTCGACAATAGAAGTCTGTCACGATTCTACTCAAACTAACCATTTAAGCCACGTGCCGAGGTAGAAGCTACACGAACGGTTGGCGCGATAGAAGACCAACTGTAAATTTAGCAATGAAAATCAGAACTGAATTTTCTCAGACGCTACCTTAACACAGGAGGGTTAACTATAAAACGTTAATCTACGGAAATTCTTCATAAATCTTCGACTATTCAAAAATACATTAATTCGAACTCCATTGTCCTCTGTTTGAATCAGGATACACTAACGGATTAGGTAGAATTTTCTAAAATGTCAACGTAAAAGTAGCCTTTAAAACTTGTTGCTCACACCGACAAATGTTCAGTAACTCTTAAGACAAGATGTTGGAAAATGAAAAGTTGGCAAAAAATACACCGTTCAGGCTAAGCGAGTTATTAAAACTCGTTATTTAGAATTTTGAAACAGCTCAATATCAACAAGGCATCTGGTCCTGATGAAGTGCCCTTCATCGTACTTAAAAAGTGCGCAAATGAACTCGCACCAGTATTTTGCAGACTTTCTAATCTGCTTTACAAGAAAGGGGTTTTCTTTTCTTGTCGGAAGACTGCTCTCGTTCAGCCTATTCCCAAAAAGGGCAAGAAAAATCTTCCAAATAACTATAGACCGGTCGCTTTGCTATCAGTGATATCAAAAATCATGAAGAAAGCCGTAAACCACCATATCCTCCGATATTTGGAAGGCTTCAACATCGTGAGCGATCATCAATATGGCTTTCGGAAACAAAGATCAACAGGTGACCTTCTATCGTATGTCACCCTTATTTGGAATAACGCAATCAAGAAACATGGAGAGTCAAGAGCTGTTGCGCTTGATATTTCTAAGGCCTTTGACCCAGTGTGGCATGATGGTTTGCTGGACGAACTTCGATGTTATGGCTTGTCGGATTATTTTTGTGTATGGCTCTTCACCTTTTCGAAAGAACGTTCCTTGCAAGCGAAAACTCAATGGTGGCATTCCTCAGGGATCCATATTGTCTCCAACCCTCTTTTTATTGTATATCAACGACTCATTGAAACAAACCAAGAATCCAATTTATTGATTTGCAGAAGACAGGACACTTATCTCGTAATTACTTTTGGATTTCAGAACATCGGCTGCGGATGCACATCTTCACTGGCAGCAGGAGGTTGCATATCTTAATGAGGGTCTAGAAGGAATTTCGAATTGGGGTGAAAGTAATCAGGTTCAATTCAATGCCACAAAATTCCAGGCATCGGTTTTTTCCAAAAAGATAAATGTGACCGAAGCGGATATAATAATAATGTCAGGTCAGACAATTCCGCTTTCTGTTTCGATAAGTTTGTTGAGGGTTAAAATGGACACCAATGTGTCTTTGCACAATCATATCGCTGGAATTGCAAAGGCTGCTTCTCAAAATCTTGAAACACTGTTCCTATCCAGAAAACTGTACACACCTCAGAAACTTTTGATGCTTTATAGAGCTCAGATCAGACCTTCTTTGATATTTTTCCCGTGTATGGAGCTCCGCTCCCAAACATAACCAGAAGCTGCTGGATTCCATCCAGAAAAGAGCCATCCGCTTGATTGGAGACGCAAACATCACTTGCAACATTGATAGCCTTGAACATCGAAGAAAAGTTGGAGATTTGTCTCTCTTCTATGAAAAATTCCACGGGAGGTGTTCAAGTACCTTGGCACATTTGATTCCACCAAGAACGGTTCATATCGGAAATACGCGACAGATTGTGGCTGCTCATCGTTTCAAGGTTCAACTTAATACGCACCGCGAACTATATTGTTTAAACGATTCAAATCCAATGTGAATCAGTTTCACACCGCTCTAAGAGTGCCTTGAGGATTTTCCTGTAGTGTTTTATTCATAAGAAAAGAATATGTAGCACATTCTCGATTTCGGAGACCAGAAAAATCTAGTGTCCCTTGAAATGCCATGGTGAACGGCCAAAGTTTAAATGAAAGCTGCTCGAAATTGTTGAGATCGGTACGCGACACTAGATTTTTCGATGCTTTAGAAAGTCTGGAAACAACAAAGTGTGGCATGAGAACTTTATGAACGGTGACATATGTCCCATGTCTTCATATGAGTCGATCTGTTAAAATTAGTGAGAACTTTCACGAGAAAACTTCCTGTGAATTTCTACCCGAAATCATCGATGTGTGTTTCAAAGTGAAAGTGTACCCTGTTACATTCAAATAGAATTGTTGATTAGTTCACTTCATATCCTGAAGACGCCAACTTGGTTGGTGGAACGTGCGTCGAGAAAAGTGTTGCATTTCTGGTGTTTGGGAACAGTGCTAGTTTTTCATGTATTATTCGCCAGAAGATCCAGTTTTACCTTTCATTTCAGTATTGAAAGTTGATGGCAGGGGTAATTACCCCCATTACCCCATCCTATAAATTAGCCCTTGCCATTGAAGATGATGTAGTATGTATCCCTTGTGAGCAAAATCATTCTAAATATTTCATACTCCTATAATATTACATTGAGTAATTTTCTTATGAATGACATCTGTTAGATCGTTTCGTGAAGCATAGTGTGATTTACTTATCCTTTCACTGTGAGCGTTTAACGGTAGTGCAGATGTGGCGCCATCTGTTGATAGATCGTTTCTTGAGACATCTGTTAGATCGATTCTTGAGGCAATTTGGTATATATCAATTATATATCAATCAATATATCAATTTCATAACGAATGTTCGAAGTGAATACTGAAAGAGAAAAAGTGATTTTGTCTTTCGAGTAGATAATTGAATGTTTATGTGAAAGTAGTTGTTTCGAGAGGGTATTTTTCCTGAAAGTAACTTTCAAGGTATGATCAACACATATTTCTTTAGAAAAGTTTTCGGTTGCATTTCAAAAGAGAGATCAATGCATACCTATAAGTATGTAAAGACAGAGCATAAAAAAATTAGAATTTAAAATAATGAGCAAAGTGGGGTAACACCTGCACCAATGGAGTAGGTTGTCAAGTGATTCTCGCCTCTTCTCTCTTTTTGTTTTGCATCGAACGAAACTAAGGAATTTTTCTATTGAAGAATTTGACAAGACAAGAGTTTGGTAATCTTGGTCGAGGTCGAGGAGAGACGAGCCAAGATAGAAATAGTTCTCTCTCAACAAGAGAGGATATAAATCATGTTATCATGCTTTTATTAGCTTCACCTGTATGCATGTATGTTTGTTTGTTTGTTTGTTTATAACCCTTCTTTTCATTTCATATTTATTACCGTTGGAATGCTCGGGATCTGTATTTGATAGAATTATCGACATTATTGCTTGATCTATTCGCGGGCAGATGGCGCTGTACGTAACCTCCTTGATATAATTCGAACTCACTTTAAATGTATTTCTTCATTTGAAAAAAGTATTTTTTTAAGACGCGTGCCTGCTGCCTTATTTGTAACACTCCTCTGCGCGCCTGCTGTCTTCTTTGGGCTTGGTAGCTGCTTTTCAGGCTCCCTCTCCAGAACCTAGTTCGATGTTCTTCAAAAGTGTGTTTTTTTTAAATTATATTTATTCTTTATACAGCTCGCGAGCAGCAATTTCATCTTTTTTTCGATACTAAAGAAAAAATCATGACTAACTGTTTATTTTCGAATGAAGCTGAATATGAAATGAAGATCACTCATGAGCATACTTCCTGTTCGTTTCTTTATGTTGAAAGAACAGTCAACTTTTCAAGAGTAATACAACGCATGAAATATTGAGTGTTTTCAGAGACGTACAAACCAAATCCTTTTGGGCGATTTTATACTTTGATTATTGTTGTTGGTGAATTTTCACCAGAAGGTGTATTTGTATTTTTCACTTATAGTTGTAGGTACTCATAGTTGTGTTGACGTTTTTTGTGATATTTTAAGTTTCACAATATTGTTATCATTTTCATGCGATGAAAACACCCTGTATATAGGTTCCTATCTATCCATTTGCTTTACATTCAAATAGTACATCATGATAATACGATATTCGTTAATGGAACACGAATTGTTATCTTTGTACAATGAAGTTCAATAAAGGATTCTTAGAATGATATCTACATAAAAATACGTACCTCCTATCTCACTCGCCTTCGCATCATCTAACCAACCACGAAACGGTAAATATAACTGATGGGCGTGCCGATATCTCGCACCAGCTACTATGACTACCAGGGAAGTGGAGAGGTAGCTCTCCGGTATCAGTTCCCTCAGTAACTTGTATTCGACGCTTTGTGTCAATCAGATTCAGCAGTGAGTGTTTTAGATAAAGTTGACTGGTGTTACTGACTGACGTTGTAAGAAACAGTGTAAAGTGAAAATGGGTGAATTTCTGGAACTTCCGCAAATGAAACAACAGGGTATGTTTTTTCCATTTTGTTGAATGATGTGGGTTGCATTCAAAAAGTTTTTTGAACGGGGGTCTGTGGACTTTGAGCGGAAAATGGTAACAAACTAATGCCATCTTATCTTATCATGATAATGTGACTAGTTTTGAATAAATGTTTTTCAATTTGACTTCAAGTATTTATTTTTTGAAATATTTTTCATGTTTTCAACCTGGGTCATCCAATATCGATGGTGATATAAAATTCAACGGGTGATTACTGAATAGTGATCACCAATCCGATTTTCGATACCACGGGAACTTGAAAACTATTATTGGGTAGTACAATAGGTACTTATAATAAAACTAAGTCAATGAGATTAATTTCAAAGAGAAATAACCCAATATGTCGTTGAATTACTGATAATTTCAACTATTTAACCCAATTATTTGGAATCTATCAGTTTTAATCGAATCCGTTCTATCGTTCACTCAATATTTTTCGTTTGTTGCAGTATTTTCTGGCGTTTACGAGTTCAAGCAGATAAAACAAGAGGCCGACAGTACCTCTCCTCTCCTCACTCCTCCACATACCCCCACCTATCCCAATATGTCACCTCCCTTGGCTAATATGTCCTGCGAAACTTGGTATCGTTCGGAACAAATGGAGCCGTCGTTTCATCACTACCCAGTGATGCAATCGTATCCCACGTACAACGTTGTTTTCATGAATCAATGGTTGAGGAATGCAGCTATTTACCATGCCAGAAATCAGTTCCAAGATATGAGAATGCCGAACAGAAGCCCCGTGGGACCCAAGGTGGTGGGATCTGCAAGACCTAAAAAGCAGTTTATTTGCAAGTATTGCAATAGGCAGTTTACGAAAAGTTACAATTTGCTGATACATGAAAGAACTCACACTGATGAAAGACCGTATTCCTGTGATATCTGCGGAAAAGCCTTCAGGAGACAAGATCACCTCAGAGATCATAGGTAGGTAATGATGGCCATAAAAATAAACGTTTTTTGAAGTTACTTAAGTATATCATCAGAAAAAATGAAAATCCAATGAATCACATGAAATAAAAAGTCGAATTACCCCTGAAACCCCCACTTTACTTTCATATTTTTTTTGCCAAACGATCAGTAAATATTGATACTGTCATTATTCTGTTGGAAAATTGAGAAATGATGAACTTTTATGAGGTCATCTCTACTATTTGAGTAAAGATAGATTTCACACATTACTTTACGAAAGGTTTCAGAAAATGGGGTGTGTTCACCCCAGTATTCCCATCTGGATCTACAGATAAATGATTTAATGTTCGAATTTCTGTATTCGATACGTATGTATAATTCGAAAGATCGGAAAGATGCAGCAAGCAATTTTATTTTCAAGAGGAGCAGTTTGAAAGAATATTTCCAGCTCACGTGTCTATATGGGGTAGATGTTACCCTTAAAATCTCAAATACAGAGGAAATACAGGTTTAATGTTATTTCAATCGTACGTTGCCAATGGTGTCACAATTTATTTTCTTTCATCTTTAAAAAAAATATATTGTATTGTATTGTAGTGAGTTTGAGCCGAGTTTTTTTGGAATATTAATATATTGACAGTTTTTAACGTGACTTGGCACTTTAAAGAATCTCAGAACTAAACAGCTTGGCAAACAAGAGGTCAGTTTTATTTTAGCAAGTAGTAAGAAAACATATAAAGTTGTCATTTTTGGGAGACCCATACCTACCTATGAATTTAACTTAAATGTATTTTGTTTGTTATGAAAACATACAATATTTTTTTTTGAAAATCAAATCTAAAGTAATGAACTTTAAAAGTTGAAGTCCGTCTCGGATATACCTACACAGTAGGTTGAATGGACTGAAGCCTATTAGAAAACAACTATTCCACTGGCTAATACCACGAACGGCGTTGGATTATATCCGATAGGCGTCAGTGCAGGAATCTTCACAGAAAATTTCCTGCATATGCAATTGACAATACAACTGGAAGAGTCGACCTTCAATATTGGAACGGGCACACTTGCAGACCGGTTTCGGGCTACTTAGCCACTCGTCAGTGCAAGTTAGTGACCATTTTCAACCTAAAGTCAATGATAATCCATGATTGAAAATCGAAATTCTTTTAGAGTAGGTATTTCATTCCTCGTCTTAAGTTGAAGCGAACATCAAAAATGTCATTCCATTTAGTGAACGAGGTACTAACTATCTGCATATCCGAAATTTGCCCGATTCCTCTGAATAAGGAGAAAAACTTTCCACTAGATGGAGTGACATTTTTGATGTTCGCTCCAACTTAAGGCGAGGAATGAAATACTCTGAAAAATTTTCGATTTTCAATTATGGAATATCATTGACTTTAGGTCGATGAGGGCCACTATCTTGCACTGACAAGTGGCTAATGAACCCGAAACCGGTCTGCAAATGTGCCCGTTCCAAAATTGAAGGTCGACTCTTTCAGTTCTATTGTCAATTGCATATGCAGGAAATTTTCTGTGAAGATTCCTACACTGACGCCTGTCGGATATAATCCAACGCCCTTCGTGGTATTAGCCAGGGGGATAGTTGTTTTCTGATAGGCGTCAGTCCATTCAACCTAAGGTGTAGGTATGTCCGAGACGGGCTTGAACTTTCAAAGTTCATTTCTTTAGACTACATCCTTTGATTCCATCCCATCTCTTTAGGAATTGAACATAGGTGTGACGTTTGGCTAGTTCCGCAATTGTCGAAGTCATCAGGCCGTGGGTGCCACTTGGTCCTAAAATTCTTAGTCCAGCCGCTTCCTTGGCTAAAGAGTCGGCAATGCGATTACCTTTACTCCTGTCGTGCCCTTCAACCCACCTCAGGATAATGTTATTATCTAGTAATTGGCTAATTCTTGGTTGAACTCCAGTACTAGCCCTAAGGTAACACGTTGTCTGTTCAAGGCTAATCGGACGTGTCTACTATCAGTGCAGATTGTTATGTTTTTGCCAGAAATTCCTTTCCTGGTTATTTATTTTGTGGCGATTGAGATACCAGTCAGTTCTATTCGAAACACGCTGGTATTTTTTCCCATTTCCCACTTAATCCTTAGGCTTAGTGATCTGGAGTAAACTCCACATCATGAGCCTTTTTTGGACCTGTACGTTAAGGCGGTTGCGTTAATGGCCATGTTACGATTGCGCACGGCTGGTGTAAACCTCGAAGTAGAAATGACTCAATTGAGGCTGAGCCTATGGCGAGAAGCGCTTACTGCGCAACCTTAGCTGCAGGCAGCCAGTGATGCAATTGAATCCAGGTTTGTGTTTAATGAACCTTACAAAATACAAATAAAACAGAACACAGAGTCAGATGCTACAATTGCAATACGCATGTATATGAGACGGCTCAGGATGTGAAGTGTACTCCGGATTACTAAGCCTAAAGATTAGGTGGGGAATGGAAAAAAATATCAGCGTGGTTCAAACAGAACTGGCTGGTATCTCAATCGCCACGAAAACAATAACAATCTGCACTATAACAAGCACTCTTAGCCTTGAACAAACAACGTGTTACCTCAGGGCTAGTAATAGAGTGCCACCAAGATTGAGCAAAAGCCTCGGTAGATAATAACATTATCCTGAGATGGATTAAAGGGCACGACAGGAGTAAAGGTAATCGTATTGCCGACTCTTTTGCCAAGGAAGCGGCTGGACTAAGAAAAAGTCTACGCTTAAAAGTAGGATTTTTGATTGGCCACTGTCAACTAAGAAAACACCTCCATAATGTGAGGTTAGTGGACACATCTCTATGCAGGATGTGTGAACAGGAAGATGAGACTCTCAGGCATATTCTATGCGAGTGCCCGGAGTTTTTGCCAGAAATTCCTTTTCTGGTTATTTATTTCGTGGCAATTGAGATACCAGCCAGTTCTATTTGAAACACGCTGGTATTTTTTCCCATTTCCCACCTAATCCTTAGGCTTAGTGATCTGGAGTAAACTCCACATCATGAAAGGATTTGGAAAAGCTGAGTACACTTGTTTGAATTAATGAATCGAAGAGGTTTTGTATTAAAGTGTATAATATTTTAAAATTCTTGCAAAGCGCTTTCGACTTTCGTCATCATCAGTGCTCACCTTCCATACCTACCTATGAATTTAACTTAAATGTATTTTGTTTGTTATGAAAACATACAATATTTTTTTTTGAAAATCAAATCTAAAGTAATGAACTTCAAAAGTTCAATTCCGTCTCGGACGGAATTGAATGGACTGAAGCCTATTAGAAAACAACTATTCCACTGGCTAATACCACGAACGGCGTTGGATTATATTCGATAGGCGTCAGTGCAGGAATCTTCACAGAAAATTTCCTGCATATACAATTGGCAATACAACTGAAAGAGTCGACCTTCAATATTGGAACGGGCACACTTGCAGACCGGTTTCGGGCTACTTAGCCACTCGTCAGTGCAAGTTAGTGACCATTATCAACCTAAAGTCAATGATAATCCATGATTGAAAATCGAAATTCTTTTAGAGTAGGTATTTCATTCCTCGTCTTGAGTTGGAGCGAACATCAAAAATGTCACATTTAGTGGACGGGGTACTAACCATCTGCATATCCGAAATTTGCCCGATTCTTCTGAATAAGGAGAAAAACATATTTTCAATTATGGAACATCATTGACTTTAGGTCGATGATGGCCACTATCTTGCACTGACGAGTGGCTAATGAGCCCGAAACCGGTCTGCAAGCGTGCCCGTTCCAAAATTGAAGGTCGAATCTTTCAGTTCTATTGCCAATTGCATATGCAGGAAATTTTCTGTGAAGATTCCTGCATTGACGCCTGTCGGATATAATCCAACGCCCTTCGTGGTATTAGCCAGGGGGATAGTTGTTTTCTGATAGGCGTCAGTCCATTCAACATACTGTGTAGGTATATTCGAGACGGGCTTAACTTTCAAAGTTCATTTCTTCAGATTTATTTACTGCACGTCATCAAGTACCTATAGCCCACTGACTAATAAGAATTTTTTTTTCGGTTTAGTATCAGTAAGTTTTGAGAAAACCACTAATCAATCATAAAAACTACCCTATTACATTTTTTTTCTCGAGTCGATTTCCTAGTCTTATATAATTGCAGATGTGTTACCAGCATATTTTGTTAAATAACAGAGTCGGATTTTACTGAACCCATTTTAACGTATTTGAAGAGATTTTCATTAAAGAATTTTACAAAAACCCAACACGTGTTTCGCCATTCAATGGCTTCATCGGGCGTGTCTTTACTAACTAAATTCTACATTATCAATTCCTAATATACCTTATTCTACAATGTGAAGTACCTAGATTTCAAGTACCTGATTTTTACCCAAGTTTATAATGAATTAAATTACCTGAGCTTATGTCCCAGTTTCCACATTTGAAAAAATGTGGGGAGTTATTCAATTCCAACTGATCATTCAGTAAATTACCCGAATTCCAGAATCTATTGATTTTTAAACATTCTATAAGATTGAGTTTCAAACTCTTCTCTTCTAAATGTAACACATCGTATTCATGATTGAACTCATGTCCTTCTGCTAAAAGGTGGTTTGCAAATGTGGAATTGGTCTTTCTTTTTACAAAACTACTTCTATGGTCTCAATTCTTTACTAAAATGTTCTTTTTGTTTGGCCAATATACAGTTTTGGGCAAGAGCCACAAGTCAGCTTATATATATATTGGCCAAACAGGGAGAAACATTTTCTCAAAGAATTGAAGAGCATAAAAGTGGTTTTGTGAATAGAAAGACCAATTCCACATTTGCAAACCACCTTTCAGCAGAAGGACATGAGTGCAATCATGAAGACGATGTGTTACCTTTATAGAAGAGAATAGTTAAACTCAATCTTCTAGAATATTTAGAAATCACTAGATTCAGTATTTCGGGTAATTTACTGAATGATCAATTAGAATTGAATAACTCCCCGGTACTAAATATATTTTTTCAAATGTGGAAACTGGGA